ACACGTTCCAGTTTGTCAGTGTCCTTCTTGAACTGTGGTGCCCAGAACTGGACACAGTACTCCAGGTGAGGTCTGACCAGAGCAGAATACAGTGGCACTATTACTTCCCTTGATCTAGATGCTATACTCCTATTGATGCAGCCCAGAATTGCATTGGCTTTTTAGCTGCCGCGTCACACTGTTGGCTCATGTCAAGTTTGTGGTCAACCAAGACTCCTAGATCCTTTTCACATGTACTGCTCTCAAGCCAGGTGTCCCCCATCTTGTATTTGTGCCTCTCATTTTTTTGCCCAAGTGCAATACTTTACATTTCTCCCTGTTAAAATTCATCTTGTTTGTTTTGGCCCAGTTCTCTAATCTGTCAAGGTCGTTTTGAAGTGTGATCCTGTCCTCTGGGGTGTTAGGCACCCCTCCCAGTTTGGTGTCATCTGCAAATTTGATCAGGATGCCCTTGAGTCCATCATCCAAGTCGTTGATAAAGATGTTGAATAAGAGCGGGCCCAAGACAGAACCCTGTGGCACCCCACTAGTCACTCTTCTCCAGGATGAAGAGGAACCATTGATGAGCACCCTTTGGGTTCGGTCAGTCAGCCAGTTACAAATCCACTGAGTGGTAGCATAGTCAAGACCGCATTTTACCAGCTTCTTTACAAGAATATCATGGGGCACCTTGTCAAATGCCTTGCTGAAATCAAGGTAGGCTACATCCACTGCGTTCCCTTCATCTACCAGGCTTGTAATTCTGTCAAAAAACGAGATCAGGTTAGTCTGACATGACTTATTTTTCAGAAATCCATGCTGACTATTGAGTGATCACAGCATTCCTTTCTAGGTGCTCACAGACTGTTTGCTTAATGATCTGCTCCAGAATCTTCCCTGGTATTGATGTCAGACTGACTGGGCGGTAATTATTTGGGTCCTCTCTTTTCCCTTTTTGAAAATAGGGACAACATTTGCCCTCCTCCAGTCTGCCGGGACTTCACCTGTTCTCCAGGAATTCTCAAAGATGACTGCCAGTGGTTCTGAGATCACATCTGCCAGTTCTTTTAATACTCTTGGATGCAGTTCATCTGGCCCTGGAGACTTGAATACATCTAAACTAGCCAAGTATTCTTGTATTATCTCCTTAGTTATTCTGGGCTGTGTTTCCTTTGCTGAATCATTTGCTCCAAATTCTTCAGGTCGGGCATTGTTTTCTTTATCGCCTTGGCTTGGGGGGGGGGTCACATAAATCCATACCCTCCAACTTTGTCTAATGAAAACAGGGACATCCTACCATACCCTCCAGCATTTCTGCTTTGAAAATAGGGGCGTCGTAAGGGAAAGTGGGACATTCCAGGATCAAATCAGAAACCAGGACAGCTTCTGTAAACCTGGGACTGTCCCTGGAAAATAGGGACACTTGGAAGGTCTGCGTTCAAGGTAGATGCTGAGCTACAGTCTACAAAATATGACAATGTGGGGGTTGGGTGTTGAATTGGTGTTGAAAATGGAACATAGTTATGAGCAGCCCCTTGGCAGGATGATACCAACAGCTTTTAGTGATGTGTACATTGTGATATCACTTGCTAAGGATCATCTGTATTCACTCAGGGCTTTTCCTTCTTCTGGAAGTTGGCTGGATCCTCCAAATTATGATTAACATCGAAATCTCATGACAAATGTCGAAATGTGGGTTAAATTTGAGATTCCCTTTTGGGTGTGTGTGTGTGAAACTGAACAATATCATTTCTTTACCCCACACTGTTGAGCTTGTCATTTGTCCTAATACCAATTGTTGAATTAGCTCCACTGTAATTAACCCGTTGTTTTTAATGAACTACATCTGGTTCCCTGCAGCAAGAAACTGCTTGTTTTCTTTTCAACATGGCAAATATGTTGCATGATAACATTTTTAATTGCAACAGCACCTGTGTAAATTCTCCACTGGTGTTGTTAAAACACATCCAGGTGTGAGTGATAATCCTAATAGCATTATTATTCATCTTCATTATGGCAAGAAGCTGCCATGCTAAAATTGTATGCAATGGTCCTAAACTCTATAGTCTTCTATTAAACTGCGAGATTCCCAGGATCTGCAGTGTAGTTCACCAGAAGACCATCTTTGGGGAAAAATCAGATGAAAAGAGTAATTTACCTTATATTTCCCAAGGTGGTGGGCAGTGCTTTTCATTGATGTTAGGAAGCTGGCTGCCATTTTGAATCCATGTCATTTTAAATCAATTTGAAAAAATAACTATGTTCTGGTACTTGCATTGCTTTGAGAAGTGTGACTTGGGTGGCTTCTCACTAAAATGCAGACAAAACCAATGTTCTCCCCAGGACTGCTTCAACGAATGGCATCTTTTATTTGCATTCTCATTGTTTGGCAGCACCAGCCAGCAACCACTCCTATATATGGTAGTGGTGCCCCAGGCTAGAGAGGTCATGGAATCTACTGGATCTGCAAGCTTGCTGGTGGGCTATAACTGCTAGCCTCCCTCCCTGTTCTGTGCTAGGCCTGACCTCACTATGCAATAGCAGCTTGATGTTAGAATTCCTGCTCCGTGATTGCAGTCATGAGATTGTTGTCTTTCACATGACGGTATATGTTTTGACTCCACAGAGTGGGAAGTGATGGAGACAGGATGTTTGTGTTACTGTGTTCCGTGAAGTGGGACTATTGTCCTTTGTTCTTTTTCTCTTTGCTGTCTGATGCTAGAGAGAGAGGGAGCCATGTTGCAGTGCTCCGTGTGTGTTTATATGTAAATAAAGTAGATTAGCCAAAATGCTGAGTTGCTGAGGTCTGTCACGCAAGTTGCGAAGACTCTGTGGATCCCTAAGTGTGCCGGTGTCGGTTTGCATCGGTCACTGTGATGTTTGGGCTGAAGAAAGCTTTTGAAGCTCCCGGACGATGCACCAGGAGGGAGAGAACATGCCAATCAGGCATGTGTCTCTGCCAGGGTCCTACTTGAGTGTAGGCTGAACTCCTGACTCTTGATTCTTGCCACCACCACCATTGTTACACACAGGCCCCTATCCCTGTATTTTGTCAGCATGGGTCTTCCTTCTTCATAGGTGTCTTGGGGCAACAGAAGCAGAGGGAGAATAGCCTGAAATGCAGGTGATACCTGACACAGGTCAAAGCTGGTCAGTTGCACCAAAGATTTTTTTAAAAAAAAACACTTGCTGGAGAAAAGCAGGGTGGGGATACTTTATACACCCACACCTACCCACCCCTACTAACCTTGCTGAGCTTCTGAAATATAGCAAGTTCTAAATACGAATAAATAAATGTATGTGATGTGGTTGAATGGAAAATAGCACAAGGTGAATTTTCAAGGAGAACAAATATTTTGCTTTCCATGTCTTTGAATGCCTTGAGAATTTTGTAAGTGAATGGTTTACTGTCAGCAATCAACATGTCAGCTCGGCTGTCGGAGTCAAGACTTCATTTCTAAACATTATGCTGGAGAAAAGTACTTTGCTCCCGAATGCTTGTGGCTTGCATCAGATAACACAACGAAATGGAGAGTTCCATCTGATGCACCCGTCTTTAAGCTATTCAGCGTTGGCTTTACACTTTTCAGAAGACTTGTCTGGGAAGAACCTGTCCCTTATGTGAAGAACACGCTTTGTTGGCAGTGCCCATTAATCGCCAAGAAGCCTAAGCAGTTGTAAATGAAATTCAGGCATCTCCTTCCTCTGTTTAACCTCTGCATCCTTTCCCCTCCCTCTGCTCTGCAGCCTTTCCTGTGTGGAATTCTAGATTGTAAGCCTCTTGGGGGCAGGGACCTGTCATCTGTTCCAGCATCACACACATTGACGGTGCTGTATCCATAACAATTCTCTTTACAGGGAAATTAAATAAAGTTGCACAGTTTCCTGTAAACTAGGGTCCCCTCTTTAAAAACGGAAATCTCTAGAATTTCTTTTTTCTTTTTAACATTTAAAAGTGCCACACATTCTTCATACAAACCAATGGAGCACAAGGCTTCATGAAAACTGAATTCTAGATTTTGGCTGGAAGAGTGTCTGAAAGGGGCAATAGACTGACTTCTACCTTTTTCGTTTGGGGGGTTTTGGGCTTTAAATCTAATCCAACTCAACTCTGCCTTTTACCTGCATTATAAACACTGGACTGGAATACACTACAGGGCTGTTGCTATCATCTCCTCTGAGTCACAGCCTCCGCCAAGTGCAATATGAGGGCAATTTATTGGCACTGACCCTGACATTTTATCTTTATCTACATGCAAAATATGTACTTACAAACTTCATTTGTCTCCTCTAGAAAATTATGTTGCTTTTTCACTAATGAGAGCAGAAAACAGTCTTTCTTCCTTTTTGGCTACTTGTTTAAAAATACGTCTTCTATTTTAAACATTAATTAAACACTGTAGCGTCAACAACGCACCACATTTTCCCACAACTCTGGGAAAAGACATGTCAATATATGTATACATACTTTATCAATAGAGTTTTTGGTCGGTCACACTGTTTCCTCCATATAATCGAAGCAGAAGAAAAGTGAATTTGAAATGATCAAGCAGGACTGGGCAGGGACTCAAATCCACAATTCACCAAGGGGCCACCAACTAAATGAAAAAGTGTACGCCAAGGTCTTAGCACTCAAATAAAAGACCTCCTGAATGGCCACCTGAGTTCATATTCCTTAAATCAATTATCATAGCAAGAAAAAGGCAGCCTCTAGTAGGAAACAGCAGGAAAACTCATTATTGAAAGAAGCTAGTGCAGAAAGAGGCTCAGACAGTCCTTATGTTTCTGAAGCTTTTCCTACATAGATTATGTCACACAACTGCCCTGTGGTGTACTGTGTGGAGGGATCAGCAACTACACATAGATCATTAGGCAAATCTCATTTAGGGAAGGTGAGCTGGTCATAGGTATGCCTCTTTGCATGGAAAGAAAATTACAAGAAACCTCCTTTTGGGGGCTCTCCCTGTCTTTGTGAACTAAAATGATTGGGCTGTCTCAAGCAGATGGCTTCAACCTTGGATCTCCAGATGTTGTTAGACTGCAACTCCCCTGGTTACAGGCGATGGGATTTGTAGTCTAACAACATTCAGGGACCCACAGTTGAAGAAACCTGGGTGGAGGAGCTCAGCCAAAATGGTTTAGAGGCTCAACAGCTTGTGGGGAGGATGACTATCATATCACGTGTCACTCATCTCTCCCCATCCTGCCCAAAATGCCTATTTTAGTACCCACAAGGTGGGATCTATTGTTTTCTTAGGTTGTGTTCTAGGCCCAATTTCACTATACTGTAGGTCTCAAAAAACAAAAGGCATGATCCTCTCTTTTCTTCTCCAGCCCTGCCCCCCTAGTGTCCCTAGGGTTAGGGGTGGATTCAGAGCAGGAGTCGGAGGCATCAGAAGATGAGAATGAGGCCTCTGAAAGATGGCAGAACCATCTTGAGGAAACTCCTTCTGTCTGCTCAGATGCAGAGTCTGGAGGGTGGCAACAGGAGAACGGGCCTTCTCTGTGGTGGCTCCCCGGCTGGCTCCTTCATTATTCACCTTTAGGCGTCAGGCAAAAACATTCCTTTTTAACCATGCCTTTGGTTGATTTGATTGACATGCTATGCCCTTTTAAAATGTGGGTTTTTTTTAATCTAGTTATCTCCCGCTTGGACTACTGCAATGCGCTCTACGTGGGGCTACCTTAGAAGGTGACTCGGAAACTACAACTAATCCAGAATGCGGCAGCTAGACTGGTGACTGGGGGCGGCCGCCGAGACTACATAACACTGGTCTTGAAAGACCTACATTGGCTTCCAGTACGTTTCCGAGCACAATTCAAATGCCTCGGCCCAGTATACCTGAAGGAGCGTCTCCACCCCCATCGTTCTGCCCGGACGCTGAGGTCCAGCGCTGAGGGCCTTCTGGTGGTTCCTTCATTGCGAGAAGCAAAGCTACAGGGAACCAGGCAGAGGGCCTTCTCGGTAGTGGCGCCCGCCCTGTGGAACGCCCTCCCATCAGATGTCAAAGCGATAAATAACTACCTGACATTTAGAAGACATCTTAAGGCAGCCCTGTTCAGGGAAGTTTTTAATCTGTGATATTTTACTGTATTTTTGGTTTCTATGGAAGCCGCCCAGAGTGGCTGGGGAAACCCAGCCAGATGGGCGGGGTACAAATAATAAATTATTATTATTATTATTATTATTATTATTATTATTATTTTGGAGGGGTGTTATTGGGTTAGTTTTTTATTTTTATTATGTCAGTTCTTCTTTTCTGGGGCTAAACATTTTGTGAATCTAAGTTTGGCCTCATCGAGTGGCAGTATTTCAATATGAGTGGAAAATTAGAGTACCCCTACGCGGGGGCCGCTGTGGGTTAAACCACAGAGCCTAGGACTTGCAGATCAGAAGGTCAGCGGTTCCAATCCCCGCGACGAGGTGAGCTCCTGTTGCTCAGTCCCTGCTCCTGCCAACGGCCTTCTGGCAGTTCCCTTGCTGCGAGAAGCCAAGTTACAGGGAGCCAGGCAGAGGGCCTTCTTGGTAGTGGCACCTGCCCTGTGGAACACCCTCCCACCAGACGTCAAAGAGAAAAACAACTACCAGACTTTTAGAAGACATCTGAAGGCAGCCCTGTTTAGGGAAGCTTTTAATGTATAATAATAATAATAATAATAATAATAATAATAATAATATATTTACACCCCGTTATAGGTTATTTTATTTTAATATTCTGTTGGAGGCCACCCAAAGTGGCTGGGGAGACCCAGCCGGATGGGCAGGGTATAAATAAATTATTATTATTAAGCCGGCCCAGGCAACACCCCCACCTGCCTGTGATAGGTTGCCTTATTCTGCAACCAGCAAATCACAACACCGCCCCTATCGCAGCAGGGATTGGCTGCCTGCCAGCTACCTGCAAATACCTTTGGAGTGCTTTAGAATCCTTCCTGTCTTTTGTTATGCAGCTGAAGCTGCTGAGCTCTAGGAGGCGTCAAGGTCTAGGCCTGCAAACCAGCCTCTGCAGCTAGTGATGCCATCCCTCTCACATTCTGCAATCTGGGTGGGCATCCCAGTCTGAGAAAATGGCTTCTACAGGGCAGCAGAGGTGCATCTTGAAGTGGGGTCCAGGAGGTTCCTCAAGCCTACGTTTCTGCTTCAGAAAGGTAATCGTTCAACAGTAAAAGCACTGCCAATAATTCTTTCCCCAGTTATAAAGCAACAAAGCTGCGCTCCAAGTACAGAGTGGTGAATTCTGACAATGAACAATGGCGGGGTGGTTTTTTTGACATAGCCAGTCATAGCTGACACTTCTGTTCTTGATCCCCTGAATCATCTGAATCCTGCAGGAACATTCATCATGGAAATAGACTCAGTCAAACAAGAAAAGAAAAAAGAAAGAAAGAAAAGAGGCAGAGAGAATCAGTTCCTGACCTAATATGCGATGTTAAGAAAGGGGTTGTGATAGGCATATATAAAATACTCTTCCCTCATAAATAACACGGGTGCAACTTTGAGGAGCCCGAGTCCTTCTGCAAATGCTGGGGCTGTCACCGTTTTATTAGTTACATTTTCACTTTCTGATGCTCCTTGAAAACGAGATTCTCTTCCAGGAGAGACGCCTGTCACGGAAACAACTTGAGAGAAAGCGAGATGGAATGATGGGTTGTTTCCAACATTTTGTTTATGCCTCCGTGGGGTGGAAGCGTTTTGTTAGCTCTGCTCTCGAAACGTGGACCAGGCAGTGCTGCCAACACAAATGTTTTCAAGTATTTTATCTTGAATGGTTGAAAAACCTCCACATGTTTTCCTGCTGGTGTAACTGAACTGGCATCTCCTTTGATTTCAGACATCCTTAATTTTTTAGCAAGAAGGGCAGGTGCTGGATAAGTGATAGTACAAGCTTCCTATTTGTATTATTAATATGTGCTTCCCAAGTTGAGGGCGCTAGACAAACCATAAAATATAGCTTTGGCAGCTACAAAGAGAAGCTCTCTGCCCTTTATATCCCATGATAGCTGGCAAATCATGGTTCTGTTGTTCCGGAGAGAAAATGGATTTCTTAAAGACAAATCTATTGCTTTAGATGAGTGAACCCTGAATTGCAGAGACAGAAGTTATTTCTGGGTGGTTTCCTTCAACTTCTTGGAGGTGTTTGACACCCCGGTCAAAGTCCTGCACTTACTATCATGCACGAAAACTTTGACATTTTGTAGCTAGCTTCATTTCTCCCCCTGATTTTCTTTATAATGAGAATTAACACCTGGACATGCTGGGAGGGTGGGGGGGGGGTAGAAGTGAGAAAGGATCTCAACTGCCCAAGCCTTTTATCCTTTCATGCCAAAAGGAAGCTTCAAAAGTCTGATCTGGCTTCACATATGAAACTTCATCACCCCTATCTGTCTGCATAAGGGCAGCTCATAAACCAAAATGGTGTGGTCATTTCTGGATAAGAATCTGCATCTTGGCTGTGAATCCTGGAAGACCTGCTCCCTGCTTTGCAGGCCTTTCCCCTCCTGGCTGAGAGGGCAGGGCCTTGACTGACTCCAGCTACAGAAGTTGAGGCTGCTGAACAGAATCTTGGGCTGGGATATTGTTTTTTGGTTTTTTTGGGATGTGTGTTTGTTGATGTTAATTTTTCGAATCTTTATTTTGCATCTTATGATTTATGTGGAAAGCATTCAATTTGGTTGTGTATTTTTGAACATTTTGTTTATTTTTTATGACTACTTTTGTTATTTTTTTAAAAAAATATGTTGTAAGCAGGGCCAGAACTCAATTACAACACCTCTCAGGTGGGCACCATTGCCATTATCAGAGAACAAGGGAGGTGTTCATGGTGAGTCCCAGCACCTCTTTTTCTAGAAAAATAGCACTGGCTGTAAGTTGCCTTGAGCATGGTTTCAACTTTGGCATACAAATAAAATGATTGATCGATTGATAAATTGGGGGGAGATAGCGAGGCATTGGAATGTTCTGGAACAGGTTTACTAGAGCTCCAAGAGGCATCCAGAAAGTGTGATAGGCCATTCTATCAGTCTGTGAATTAGATGTGTCATATAGTCCAGTAACTTTGAATGTAGCTATGGCAGGCTACAGAACTCTAGTTCCACGAGACTTTGAGCAAACTGAACTTGATCAAAGATATCCAAGGTATGTCCAAAGTCAAAGTTAGGAGTGAACAACAAAATGTGTCTGTGCAAATGTGAGATGCAACTGAGCATGTGCAAAGACATTTGGGACATCTAATCTTGAAGACAGAGAACATTGTGCAGACAAGCTGGAGTAAGGCAATAGGAATTCCTTGGGGGAATGGGTGCAGATCCCTGTTCCTCTAGTAAGCAGGAAAGAGAAAGGCATGTCTCTCTCTTCCAGGATGAAGAGGGGATCCAGTCACTGCATGAAGTTTGTCTTACTGAGTTTTACCTTTCTCTCTCTCTTTTTTTTCATTCTTCATGACATTTTTGAGGCTGAGCTGTATTACAGATTAGTAGCCCTTAGCAATGGGCTTGCAAAGATGAGATTTTAGTGTGATATGGTACTAAAGCTCGTGCGGGAAAAAGGGGGAAAAAAGAAAAAGAAAACGTGTGAAAATTGAAATGACAAGGTCAAGTTGATAGCTTGGTTGTAGAGGTTGCCAAGGTAGTTGCACTATGATTAGAAATGGACCAAATGGCAGGAGAAGAATAAGAACTGGTGCTAACCTTCAACAGGTTAAAAATAAAATAAAAAACTAACTTCAACCAGACTTAAGATTTTTATTTTTTTTAAAGGCCACTACTTTACTGATACATTCCACTTTTAACAGTTTGTTTTAATTCTGTGACCCTTTAGACTTCTTCCAGCTTTGTTTGCAACAGGAAGCAATTTCTTCATATGTTCTAACGACAGCCAACCAGTTCTGTTCATCTTGTGTGATAGCTATCTGCTTCCATTATTATGATGATTTCAATCTCCTTTCACATATCTCAAGACAATTTACGATGCAATACAAATTAAAAAAAAATAGTTTCGAAAACGGTACAAAACCCAACACAGCTAAATGCAGGCCTTTCCACCTGACTGAGAAAGTTTGTCAAAACAAAAATGCTTCCAGTTGTTTCCAAAAA